TCCTTCCTTCCTTCCTTCCTTCCTTCCTTCCTTCCTTCCTTCCTTCCCCATCACAAAGTGATGCTATCCCAAAAGAATTTGCTGCCCCCCCCAGCACACAAATGTTATTAAAAGTTGGGATTAAATTTTTTTACCTGTTTGGCCATACTCCTAAGACAACACAAACAGACACTGGCTTTCCCCAACACTGCAGCTTGAACTTCTGCCATCCACGGTCACCACAAAAACTATCATGCTGTCCACAGATGTTCAGAAAAAGATGGTAGGAGCGGGGACAGATGGCCCGCCAAGGAAGAGAAAAGAGGCAGAGCTCCCCAAAGCAAAGCCCGTGTGAAGCTGTACCCCCCTCCGGCCACGCACGGCGCTGCAGATCCAGGTTTTCTTCCTTTCCAAGGGATGCCCTCTCTCAGTTCTGATCCTAGGAAAAAGAGGGATGGGATGTGGAGTGGGGAGGAGGAAAGGGAATGGCCATAAAATCTAGACACCCTCCTGACCTCCATCCTTCCCCATCACTTCAGCTGGAACAGGGGAGACCCACCCCCAAGCTCTGTTATTTATATATTTATAGATCTGCTATCAGTTCCATTGTGGTGGCAGCTGTTCACACAACGGTGCTGATTCTGTTGACCGGCTTAGGCTTGGGGTTTGGGGGCCCTTGAGCAGGCATGGCTGGAGGGCCCCCCTGGTGCATGGACATGTGCTGGGCCAGAGGGGACGTAGGAGCACCCGGAGAGTGGGGGCTGAGAGGCGTATGGGGCGACGGAGGGGGAAGAGGGGGGTAAGAAGGATGTGGGGGAATGGGAGAATGAGGCGGGGGCATCGGGGGTTGGCTGTGGTGTGGCTGAGGATGGCCATGATGCCCAGGATAGGGCCCCATGCCAGAGGGCGGCGGAGGCCGCTGTAGCAGCTGTGCGGGGTGGTGGCTGAAAATAAAGTGCTTCGGGGCCTGCTGCCTATGCAGGGTGTGCTGCCCGCTGAGCCCTGACTGATGGAGCTGCTGGGGGTACGTGTGGGCCAGGGCATGCTGAGGGGCAGGGCTGTAGAGGGGCAGCGGCGAGGTGGGCTGGCGCCCATGAAGGAAGGGAGGGTGCTGGGAAGCGGCAGCAGCCATCTGGAGGCGCTTCTGCTGCCCAGGCCGACCGAGAGTGTAGTGGTGGTGGGGCTGTGGGGTAGGGAAAGCAGGCACCGCCTGCTTCTGCGGGGGAGCCGAGAGAGGAGGCTGCTGGGAATGATGGTAGCGCTGGACCTGAGGGGGCAGCGGGTTGGAGGGCAGAGCCAGAGGTGGGGGTGGGGGTGCTGGCTGCTGAGGGGGAGGGGGCTGCTGGGGGTAGGGGGGTGGGGGCTGGGCAGAGGGGCCATGGCAGTACTGGGCGTGGAGCGCCTGCAGCTTTGACTGGCTGCCGTCAGGGAGGGAGGGGTGGCTGTGATGTGGGTGGTGCTGGGGCAGGTGATGGTGGGACGAAGAGGCCGAAGAGGAAGAGGCCGAGGCCTGGCTGGGGGGAGTCTGGAAAGGGCCCTTCCCACGCTTGCTGCCAAACAGGGAGCCCAGGAAGGAGGACGAATTCGAGGGGGGCCGAGGCTGGGGCTTGTATTCCTCTGGAGGAGGTGGTGGTGGCGCCCTCTGGTGGGGATGTGGGCTGCTAATGATAGACCCCTAGAGGACACAAGGGATGAGGGTGGAAAGGCAGAAGAAAGAGGAAGAGAAGGGAGAGAAAGACGGGGCATTAAACAACTGGTGTCCATAAGCCCCCCTAGGCCAACAGTCTGGACTTCCCTAGACTTTCTCAGGCAGGCTTGGCTCAAACTAAAGTAAAAAGTTCTGGGAAAGGAAGTCAAGGCTCCCAAAGCAAGGGAAGGACTCACATGCTCTTTGACCTCCCCCTCTGGAGGTAGGCAGAAAAGAAGAGACAGAAGCTGCAAGGCAGAAAGCGGGAGAAGGGCGGAAGGACCCCACCTGCATCCCTCTCCTCCCTCCGCCATCCATCCTGGGCTGGTTTACCTCTAGCCCACTTACTTCAATTGTGCTGTCCAAGGATCCCACGCTGTTACGGCGGCCCCGCTTGCCTGCAACAGAGCAGGGATTAGCGAGACCTGAACTTCACCCCTTCCCCGTTGCGCCAACCCTCCACTTTTGAAGGTGAGAGGGAAGAAAATCCCCCATCCCATCCCACCAAAGCAGAGCAGCAGAGCAAAGGCAGAGTTAGCAGAAGAAAAGAGGGAAACAGAGTGTCTTGCCCTCGTTCACCTCCTTTTAGTACAGAGCAGGCCTCTTCTACCACAGTAAAATTACTTGGGTCGGGGCACACAAATACTGTGCATGCATCACCCCCGACCTCTGCACTCCTCCTGAGACTCAAGAGTGCAACTACATTTCTTTCTCACTCTAAGTTTGGAAGAGAGAAAGAGATCAATCCATCCATTCATCCATTCACCAGCTATTTGATAAATTCTTACATTTCAAAATCCTGGGGATTTCTTATTCCTCAATCAGTTTTATGGAGGAGAATTAAATGGTGGAAATCTTTTTCCAGACATAAAGGATGTGGTTTTTTTTTAACCAGTAGAGGGAGCCATAACAATTATATTTTGGGGATAAATTGATTTCTGGGATGGAATTAAGTTAAAGTTTGAATGGAGCTGGGTTTTTAAGAGAGCTGTGACAGAGCCAGTTTTAACAAATTCAAGTGCTAAAACCTTTTCCTTGGCTGCATTGCTCCAGCTTAAAGGTGGTGATGGGTGCTCCATCTTGAAAAGCTCCCTTCATGCAAAATCTTCCTGCAAGTAGAAACCTAGGAAGCCAAGGGAGAAAGGTTCAGTCTGAATTTCTCCCTATTTTTTTTTTTTTACTTGCAGGAATTTCTCTTGTTCATAAGAGAGCATCTGAAGTAAACAACACGGTGGCCAATCAACAGCCAGGATCCCACAAAGCCCACAAAGGCTACCAAAAGCTGGTGGCACAGTAACACACCATTTTGAGGTAGCGTATGTATATTCATATTAGCTACAAAAGAGGCTTTTTATAGTGTTAAACATTAAGAACACTTTAAATCCCCCTCTGCCAATCCCAGAAAATCAAAAAGGAAATCTCAAATCTGTTGATTTAGCCAAGAGCCACAGCTCTGCTCACTGTGGCCCTTGGCTTCCCCAAAATAGTTGTCCATGCTCAATCTTAAACCTGAAGGAATACAGTCTAGGAACTGTCCCGGCAGGTCCTGTCAAATGCATATATTGGCTCAAATTCTGGAACCCATAACCTGGATACCAGAAGGACAACTAAGCATTTCCAGCTGCATTCCTAGAGAGGCCTCCAGGACACTGATGATGTCATCTGCTACATTCTGCCACACTTTTCCGTTGCGTGGAATCTGGTGATATTCATCATAGGTTCTCCTCAGCATAAATGGAGAAATTCTGGTTCTTTCCTGATCTTCATCCCAGCCCTGAGCCTCCCTTTGTCTCTTCTCCTAGAGCCATAGGGAGAACCTAGAGTCCTGAACCCCTGTCCCTCACCAGCATCAGAGAGGTCACGCAAGGAGCTATTGAGGGCACTTCTCTTCAGGCCCTCTCCCATAGTATAGGCATCCTCTAGACTGCTCCTGGTCAGGGTGCCATTCACGGTGTCCTTGGGCCCAGAAGAGGGAGAGGCGTTGGGGCGCATTACTCCTTTCTGCTTTTCAAGCTCCGCTGTGATGGAAGAATAAGACAGAAGCAGACTGGTTATTTACAAATCTTAGGATGGTGCCTCAGCCTTGAATGACAGAGCAACGGCATTTCTGATTAATAATGATACAGTCCAAAGACTGCATTTGGCAACAATAGACAAGTACCACGAATATTTGTGAAATATCATCCCACATGGAAGGGCAGTGACTTCTAATTATACGAAGCTTATGCAATATTCCCACGTCACTTCTAAGCTGTCAAGCACTTGCCCATTTTCAAATATATTCCCTGTAATAACAATCCGGACCATAGCAGTTCCTCACTCACATTCCACGCGGTATTTCTCCATCTCTTGCACTTCAGCGATGGACTCCCGCAGGTCACTTGTGAAACGCAACCGATCCTGCAGACTGGGGGCATTGAAGATGATCAGGACTTTTCGTTCCCCACCGGGGACAGCTGAGAGTAGTTTAATCCCATACTGGTAATCTGTTTGGAAGAAAGTCAGATTCTGGGTGACGATGGGTCCATTGCAAAGCAAGGATGGCAATCATGAAATGGGCCAGAGTGATGGGTTATTCCTGAGGGTCAGCTCAAGACAGCAAAGAGCAAAGGCCCGTCAGAAGCTGGCTCACAGCAGGGAAGATAAACATGACCACCCCAGCTGGACACTTCCAGGCTAGTGTGGGCCGCGTTCTCAGCCTGCGCGGAAAGTACAGGGCAAGGAAGGCCTAGGTGGGTAAGGGATCCAATGAATCTGTTGTCATAGTAGTAGGCACTGAAGGCCCAACAAGTCTTCTTTAAAGGGGACTTTAAGGATCAAGATGGGGAGAAGGAGAAAGATTATAATTGGAGCAGATAGTAACTTATCATGGAGTCTGATAGAGTCCCATAGAGAAATGACTATAAGGCCTCTCTGTTGGGAATTTTGGCAGGGACACTCACAGGAATTCTGAAAGAGCTGCAGCTGCATCTCAACAAGCGGGAAGCTCTGGCGGAAACTGTAGGTCACAAGGATCTTCTTCTTCTGGAAAATCTTTGTCACCTAAACATCATTGGTCACAAAGAGTTGATGATGGGGAAAAGAGGATCAATAAGGAGGAAAGAGAACCGTGAGTCAACCACCATGCTTCATTTTCTAATCTAGAGCACATTGAAAAAAAAAACAAAGGAAGCCAAGGGAGAAGAAAGGTTCAGTCTGAATTTTATACATTTATGTAATACTAAAGTAAAATGGAATCTCCTTTCATATGGCTGGAAACAATTGATTCTAGCAACTTTTTTTTAAGAAAGCGCCACTGACATTATTAGTCAGGCCAGTATTTCCATCTCAGATTAGTCATAAACTATACAAAATGAGTGTCTAATTCACCACACATTTTCACAGTAAAACAGGATGTTGCTGCATGGTGGAAGCTCTCGTTGATATCTCTCTCAGACACAGCCTTGAAATTCTAACTTTTAAATTACTTTAAAAAGAAAAAAAATAATAATTTCACAACACTATGATGATACTGCCAGTCAAACGCCTTTCAAATGGGCATGCATTTATAAAGTTTCATTTATATATCTATCTTTTCTCCTCAAAGGGTTTCTTTTCTTCCCAGTATGCAGTTTTACGAGAAAGCCTATTTCCATTCATTCTAATCCATCAATCTATCTCCAGCATTGAAATAGTCTCAGTACTTTCCCTGTGATGTTGGCTCAATTGGGAAGGCAAAACAGAAAAAGAGATCCAGGATGTGGCAAGCCAGCAAATGGCCCCACTTGATAGAAACAGAGCCTTTCTGGACCTTTTGCTTCTCAACAGTGCCCACCTTGTTCCAAGCCTTTCATCACCTGGGCTTTTCAAAAGTTTTGCATGAGAAGATGGAAACTTTCCCAACTCTATCGCTTCCTAAAGAAGCTGAGTTCCCTCACCACCCTTGGCCTTACCACTAAGAGGTCATTGAAGAGGAAGACTTCCCTCTGGTGCAGGCCAAGCCTCTGGGGCCGGTTGGGGTCAGGGACCTCATACAGCTGGCAACAGCACACCAGGCGCCTATGGGGCAGAGAGAGAACCTGGTGGGATAGAGAGGAAGAACGTGCTGGGAGCATAGCTGGAAAATAAGTGCTTGGGAAAACTCTTTGCAAACCACAGTCAACCACCCCTGAAGACAGCTTCCACTTACCGGCTTTTTGCCCACAATCATGCGCTCGACTGCCTGGACCTGAGAAACGTGATCATCGTTGGTGCGCAGTTCTCGGCTCTGAATCCGCTGATAAATCCCTACCAAGAGGTCACGGGGAATATCCTCCCCATTATCAACCCCTAGCAAAAAAACCAAGAGGAGGAGTCAACAGAGAACAGAAAGGTCACATTCAGTCTGACTAATAATACCGTAACCACACAGCATAATATTGTATGTTTTAGGCCTTGTAGGCCAGTCCCAGCCTTATGCCTCAGCCTAACTTAAAAAATGACTTTTGCAAGAAATTCATTCAGATCTCTGGCAAGAGTTATCTCGCAGGTCCCGGGCAGCATATCACTAGGGAGAGAGAGGGGGGAAAACGGGAAGGGGAGCAACAATTGCCACAAAGACAAAATGAAAATGAGTGACCTGTGCAATAAGTGTTGGTTTTGTCCTTGCATCCTTTATCTCAGCTCTGCCATTGCCACCACATGGCCCCCATAGATTACATACTGACAAAAAAGATGTTTTCACGCACACAAAAATTGTTCAAAATAAATTCACATATCATTTTCGAAGCCTGCAACAGCCCTGGAAAGACAGGCTAGTACAATTCCCATATTTGGAACTGTGACATTATATACTGCCACCAAAATTTAGCCCAAGATAAATTTCAGGAAATAATAATAAATATTTGCCTTGGAAGTGCACCCAAGGTACCTATGACTATCGATTCTTTCTTTGCTTTCTTTGTTCTATTTCTGTTTGCAGGTCTGTTGCGATTTTCCCCCCAGTTCCTTCTCCTATTCTATCTCCAGCTACTGCCATGTCCACAATCTATGCTTTTTTGTCTTTCTTATCAACAAACATTAAGTCTTGGGTGCTATGGGGTAGATGCCTATCTATTTGAATTCTAAAGTCCCAGAGTACTTTAGCTTCTTTCATTTTCTATTATTTTCATTATTTTATGGTCCCATCAGTTTTTGCTTGCAGGCAAGCAGTATTTCTTGCAGATATTCTAATGCACCATTGCTGCTACTTTCTCATGCTGTTGTTTACAGTCAGTCTGTGTGCTCTTCTTGCAGCAGCTAACTCTTGAACATTATTGGCATTTACAAAATCACCATCACTCAATTGCAAAAGACAGTTTTTCTGGCAATAGCTTACATCCTTTGATGATATCTTTTACACTATTAAACAACATCCGTCTATCTCAGGCCCTTGGGAAGGATTTGACAGGTGGATAAAAATGCCAAATCCAGTCTAAACATCTGGCTGACTATGCCACCAAACATAATCATCATAATGCTATTCCAATCTTTTTAGTGGTAATTTATGCCCCGAATGGAGAACAAAAAGAGTTTTTTAAGTATTTATATGAAAAATTAATAGGATTGGAAAAAAGAAATATTTGCATCATAGGGAACTTTAACGCTACTGCTGATTACTAAAAAGACCACAGCATCGGGGGGAGAAACAGAAAAAAAAAGAGAGCTTCCAAAAATATGTATGGAGATGATGAGGGAGTTAAATTTGATTGATATATGGAGAAGGCTAAACCCCGAGAAAAAACAGTTTACGTTCTATTCAAATGCCCACCAAAGATGGACACAAATTGACGTGGCATGAATGAAGGGGGAAAATAGCAAATGAAATAAAAGGGATTGAAATTCTACCCAATGAATGGGCAGACCACAATCCAATTAAGATAATCTGGAAAGATGGAAAAAAAAACCCCAGGAAAAGGTGGACATTAAATACGTAGCTAATTAGAGAAAAAGAATATACAAATAAACTTAAGGAGGAATTAAACTTTTTCTTAAAGGAAAATAACAGTGGAGCAACTACAAAACAAAACATTTGGGACACAATGAAGGCAGTAATAAGAGGTATAACAATCTCTTATAATGCCAAGAGGCATTATAAGGAATAAAGAGAGGAATAAAGAAAAGTATGCCCAGCAAAATAAGCTACAACAAAAAATTAAAGAATTAGAAATTCAATTACAAAGTACCCCAAAGGACTCAAGATTGCAAAACCAGATGACAATAACTAAATACAAATTGAATTTAATTGAACAAGAGAGAATGATTATAAATTTGAATACACCGGGACAAACTTATTTTGAGCACGCTAATAAGCCAGGGAGATGGTTGTCCTATAGACTTAAAAAAGGGAAAGAAAAAAGATTGATTTACCAATTAATAAATGGAAATGGAAATACACAACAGGGGATAGAACAGGAAAAAAAAATTGCCCATAAGTATTTTGAAGATTTACACAAAAAGGAGGAGGTCAATGAGGATAGGATAAGAAACTATCTAAATAAAACAAAGGATAAAATAATTGGGGAAGAGATGAAACAGTTTTTAAACGAAGATATTACTTGATTTGAATTGAAAACAGCAATAGAGAATCAGAAAAATAATAACTCTCCAGGATGAGATGGGATCCCAGGGGAACTATATAAGGCAATAGGAGAACTAATAGGACCTCATGGTGGAAGTTTTTAACAATGTCCTATTGGCAGCCAGAATGCCGGACTCATGGAGGGGGGCATTGATTTTGCTAATCCTGAAGGAAGATCTCGACTCCCCATATATACAAAATTACAGGCCAATTTCCTTGTTAAAAATAGACTATAAAATATTCGCTTCTATTATTGCAAACAGCTTAAAAAGAATTCTGAATGACCTGATACACCAAGACCAAAATGGATTTCTCCCAAACAGACAAATCAGGAATAATTT